GTTGTTAAAGAGGCTGTCATTTCTCCACTGTATATACATGGCTCCTTGGTTGTATCTTAATTGACCATATATGATTGGGTTTATATTTGGGCTCTCTATTCTGTTCCATTCAAGTATGGCTTTGTTGTGGGTGCCAGTACCAAATTGTCTTGATTACTGCAAATTTGTAGTAGAGCTTGAAGTCGGGGAGCATAATCCCCCTAGCCTTATTCTTCCTTCTCAGGATTGCTTTGGCTATTCCGGGTCTTTTGTGGTTCCATATGCATTTCAGAACTGTTTGTTTTAGTTCACTGAAGAACACTCTTCGTATTTTGATAGGCATTGCATTGAATCTGTAGATTGCTTTAGGCAGGATGGCCATTTTGACAATATCAATGAGCATGGGATGTATTTCCATTTACTGGTGTCTTCTTTCATTTCTCTCATGGGTGTCTTATAGTTTTCTGGGTATAGGCTTTCACTTCCTTGGTTAGGTTTATTCCTTTTTGTTTTTTTGATGCAATCATGAGTGGAATTGTTTTCCTGAATCACTCTTTCTGCTCGTTCATCATTAGTATATAGGAATTCAACAGATTTTCTGTGTACTGATTTTGTATTCTGCAACTTTGCTTAATTCAGTTATTAGTCCTAGTAGTTTGGGGTGGATTCTTTAGGTTCCATTTTAGGGTTTTTTATGTACAACATCATGTCATCTGCAAATACTAACAGTTTAACTTCTTCCATACCAATCTGGATGCTTTTTATTTCTTTGTGTTGTCTGATTGCCATGGCTAGTACCTCCAGTACTATGTGGAATAAAATTGGAAGAGTGGGTATCCTTGCCTTGTTCTCAGTCTTAAAGGAAGAACTTTCAGCTTTTTGCTAAGTATGACATTGGCTGTGGGTTTGTCATATATGGCCTTTATTATGTTGAGGTACTTGCCCTTTATACCCATTTTGTTCAGAGTTTTAACACGAATGGATGTTGAATTTTGTCAAATGCTTTTTCACCATCTATGGAGATGATCATGTGATTTTTGTCTTCTTTTTGTTGTTGGGTGTATGATGTTGATGGGACTTTCAAGAATACTGTACCATCCTTGCATCCCCAGAATAAATCCTACTTTATCATCACGGATGATCTTTTTGATGTATTTTTGAATTTGGTTTGCTAAAATTTTGTTGAGTATTTTTGCATCTAGGTTCATTGGGGATATTGGTCTGTAATTTTCTTTTTTTGTGATGTTTTTGTCTATTAGAGTGATGCTGGCTTCATAGAATGAGTTTGAAAGTATTCCCTCCTCTTCTACTTTTTGGGAAACTTTAAGGAGGATGGGTGTTAGGTCCTCTCTAGATGTTTGATAAAATTCAGCAGTGAAGTCATCTGGGCCAGGGATTTTGTTCCTGGTAGTTTTTTGATTACCAGTTCAATTTCATTGCTGGTAATTGGTCTGTTCAGATTTTCTGTTTCTTTCTGGGTCAGTTTTAGAAGGTTGTACTTTTCTAGAAAGTTGTCCATTTCTTCTAGGTTATCCAGTGTGTTGGCATATAGTTTTTCATGTATTCTCTAATAATTCTTTTTATTTCTATGGTATCCATAGTGATTTTTCCTTTCTCATTTCTGACTCTGTTTGTGTAGATTCTCTTTTTTTCTTAGTAAGTCTGGCTAAGGGTATATCTGTTGTATTTTCTCGAAGAACAAGCTCCTGATTTCATTGATTCTTTCTGTTGTATTATTATCATCAATATTATTTATATCTGCTCTGATCTTTATTATGTCCCTCCTTCTACTGACTTTGGGTCTCATATGTTCTTCTTTTTCTAGTTTCATTAATTGTGAGTTTAGACTGTTCATTTGGGAATGTTCTTCTCTCTTGAGATAAGCCTGTATTGCAATATATTTCCCTCTTAGCACAGCCTTTGCTGCATCCCACAGATCTTGTGGTGTTGAGTTAATGTTTTGATTTGTCTCCATATATTGATTGATCTGTTTTTTTATTGTTTTTGATCACTGATCCATTGATTATTTAGGAGTATGTTGTTAAGCACCCATGTGTTTATGAGCTTTTTTGTTTTCTTTGCACAATTTATTTCTAGTTTCATACCTTTGTGGTTTGAGAAGCTGGTTGGTACAATTTCAATCCTGAATTTACTGAGGCTCTTTTTGTGGCCTAGTATATGATCTATTCTTGATAATGTTCCCTGTGCACTTGAGAAGTGCTGCTTTTGGGTGGAGTGTTCTGTAGATGTCTGTTAGGTCTTTCCGTTCTGATGTGTTACTCAGCCTCTCTGTCTCCTAACTTACTTATTTTCTGTCTGGTTGATCTGTCCTTTGGAGTTGAGTGGCATGCTGGTGTCTCCTAAAATAAATGCATTGCATTCTATTTTCCCCTTTAATTCTGTTAGTACCTGTTTCACATAGGTAGGTGCTCCAATGTTGGGTGCATAGATATTTATAATGGTTTTCTTGTTGGATTGCCCCTTTATCATTATTTAAAGTCCTTTTTTGTTTCTTGTTACTTTCTTTGTTTTGAAGGCTATTTTTTTCTGATACAAATACTGCAACTCCTGCTTTTTTCTCCCTATTATTTGCATAAAATATCATTTTCCATTCTTTCACTTTTTGTGTGTTTCTGGGTTTGAAATGAGTCTCTTGTAGGCAGCATATAGAAGGGTCTTGCTTTTTTATCCATTCTGTAACTCTATATGTCTTTTGATTGGTGCATTCAGTCCAGTTACCTTTAAGGTGATTATCAATAGATACGTACTTATTGCCACTGCAGACTTTAGATTCATGGTTTCCAAAGGTTCAAGGGTAACTTCTTTACTAACAATCCAATTTAACTTAGTACACTATTACAACACAATCTAAAGGATTTTTCTTCCCTTCTTTTTCTTCCTCTTCCACTCTTCATATATTAGGAGTCATAATATGTACTCTCTGTGTATCCCTTGACTGACTTTGTGGTTATTTGATTTAATTTTGCATTTGCTTAGTAATTAATTGGTCTACTTCCTTTACTGTGGTTTTATTTTCTCTGATGACAGCTATTTAGCCTTAGGAGAACTTTCATCTATAGTAGTCCCTCCAAAATGATTTGTGGAAGATAAATTCTCCCAACTTTTGGTTATCTGGCAATTGTTTAATCCCTTCTTCAAATTTATATGATAATCTTGCCTGGTAGAGTACTCTTGGTTCAAAGACCTTCTGTTTCATTGCATTAAATATATCATTCCAGTCCCTTCTGGCCTGTAAGATTTCTGCTGAGAAGTCTGATGATAACCTGATGGGTTTTCCTTTGTATGTGATCTTTTTTCTCTTTCTAGCTGCTTTTAATACTCTGTCCTTATACTTCAACTTTGCCATTTTAATTATTATATTTCTTGGTGTTGTCTTCTTTGGGTCCCTTGAGTCAGGATATTTGTGCACTTCCGTGCCCTGAGAGACTATTTCCTTTCCTAGATTGGGAAAGTTTTCAGCAATTATTACCTCAAAGGCACTTCTATCCCTTTTTCTCTCTCTTCTTCTGGTACCCCTATAATGCAAATATTGTTCCATTTGTATTGGTTGCACAGTTCTCTTAATATTCTTTCATTCCTAGAGACCTTTTTTTCTCTGTGTGCTTCAGCCTCTCTCTCTTCCTGTTCTCTAATTTCTATTTCACTTACCATCTCCTCTACCTTATCTAATCTGCTTTTAAATCCCTCCATTGTATGTTTCTTTTTGGATACTGTATTTTTTTCAATGTTTTTATCTCATTCTTGAATTCCTCCCTGAGGTCTTCAATATTTTTCTGTAGCTCCGTGAGTATGTTTGTGATTTTTATTTTGAAATCTTTATCAGGTGTACTGGTGATTTCAGTTTTACTTAGCCCTCCTTCTGGTGTTTGTGGGATTTTGGTTTGTACCAGCTTACTTTGACATTTCATGTTTGTATTGATTGCTTAAATAATAACTTTGTGTAGGCAGTGCCCTCTATTGCCCAGAAACTCTACTCTTTTGAGCTGCCCAGAACCTGGAGCAATGGCGGGGTCGTAGTGAGCTGCGCCCATGTCTGTCAGGAGGAAAGAGCTCTTTCCTGCTTCCTAGCTGCAGTGCCTGCCTCCACTGCCAGGGCAAGTGGGCTGAGCACGCAAGGAGGAGCCTGTGCATTTCGCCATAGGTGGAGCCATCCTCTGGCTGGCCTAGTGCAATGGTGGAGTAGCATACCTGTGAAACCATGCCGGTTGGAAGGGAGCATCAAGCTGCATATCATATTGAGTGGCCTTAGCGCATGTCACTAGCCAGGGGAATGGAGCGCCTCAAGTTCCTGAGAGTTCCCAACCTGCTGGGCTAAGTGTGCTGGGACGACTTTGTCTACCTGTACTTCTTCTGAGCAAGCTCTACGTCATCCTTGACCCTTTTACAGCCCTCTCATTCTTGGAAAGTCTTTCAGAACACCTGCCTTTCTTTTGTCCTGGGGTGGCTGGTTGTGTGTACCTCTTCTCCATAAGTGGCTGGAATCTCAATCTCTCCTACTACTCAGCCTGTCTTTGCTTTCCAACCCCACTAATCTCCATAGCAATGTGTAATGTGGGTTTGTGCTCCCCAAGCTGATCTTGAGGCCTGGGTGTTCAGTAGTCCTAGGCTTCCACCCCTCCTCACTCCATTTCTCTTTCTCCCACCGATGAGCTGGAGTGAGGAGAGGGCTTGGGTCCTGCTGGATCACAGCTTTGCTACTTTACCCCTTTCCGTGAAATCTTCTCTTTACCCCAGATGTAGGCGGTCTGTCACAGTCTTCTTTCTGGTCGTTCTTCCAGGATTCGTTGTATTTGCTGTATTTTCATATTATATGTAGTTTTGGGAGGAGGTTTCTGTCTCACTTCTCAGGCTGCCATTTTAAAGCCAATACCACCAAACTATTTTTTAAATGTGAGTTTTAAAACATTTTTCATTATCTGAAAATTTTAACATTCTCTCAGGCTTTTATCAAAAGAGTATGAATCTCAAAGTTAGACTGACCCTTATTCTAAAGGACTTACATTTATATAATTTGCATTGATATAGTCTTCATTACCCTTTAAAATGACCCGTGTAGCATCATCTGAAAAAAATTTAAAAGAAAGAATGTTTTATTAAAGGTATGTTAAAAAGATTGAACTTAACATACAGAGATAGCAGATACTTACAAGGCGAAATATCTCTGTATCTATTTTTGGAAATGTTCTGAGGTAATTTGGCACAAGACATTGTCATTCCAGGTTTTTTCCTATATAATTGCTAAAAAAAAAAAAGAAAAAAAAATTTCAAATGAGTCCAGCTGGTCATCAAGTTTGTTTTGTTTTTCAAACTTGTTTCTACGGTAACAAGAAACAGGTTTGCTCCTTAGAATACCTTATCTATTCCATAATATACTTTAGGCTAGTCAGATATTGAACCGGATTTGTGATGTTGAATTCTGTATAATTTCTGAAATGAATTATCTCTCATATTTTGAAAAATTGTAAAATAAGTGAAAACAATTTTGCTTAGGGCAAAAGTACCTGAAGTCCTGAATAGCAAAAATGCAGAAAGCATTTAGCTTTCATTTACTTTGAAGATGTTAACAGTATACAAACTGAGCTTAAAAAAAAATTGACACAGCTTCAATATTTTATAGTTACTGATCTTTAACATAATTTCAGAGCAACATGTATTCATGATGGCCAACTACACCAACAAAAATTAGAGAGAGTTTAAATGTGACAAGGTACAAAAGTTATTTTCCTTTAACTCATGATTTTTAAGTCTGTAATAGCCTATTTTCATCTGCCACCTTTCATAAAAACAGCTATTACAGAAAAAAATTTAGCTTGCTGATTATTTATAAAATCTTCTTATTCTTCTCTTTTACATAAACATGTAACTTTGAACCATAGCTAGTATTTTCGGGGCAATTAAAAAACTGCATTTTAGAACTTTTTTATGTCAAATAGTTCTCATAATACCATTTTAGCTTATAAGCTATAACTGACAGATTAGACAGTTAAGAAAACCATGAAAGTAATTTAAAAATATGGACAAACATCGCTCCATAAAATACTACTTGCATCAAATTGTGTCAGGACTGTTCCAGTGATAAGCCCCTCAGCTAGCTGGATCATTGACTCCCGAAGAGAATGGTCATCCTGATGGATGTTATCTAGTGGGGCTTTCTCAGGAATGTACTGGAACTCTGGCTCATTTTCTAGCTTTTCTTCTACTACATCGTATACAGCTATAAAACAAAAACAAGAACAAAAACAAAAACACCACATGGGAATCTTAATGAACTGGCAAAAGGTATTTATCAGTTATGTTCTTTAATTTTGTGCTCGGAAAAATAAATCACTTATTCATAATTCTTCAGATCTGAGTCTGTGGCCACTGTGTAAGGATGGAGAGGCTGTGAGTTGAACTTTGCTGTACCTTTAGGTAAAAGAAGAGTTCTTGGCCATATTGCTGAAAATGTTCACAGTTTGAGGAGACATTAAAGGAAAGAAGAGTTGCCAAGAAGCAGTTCTCATCAGAGCTACCCTCAATTTGTATGACCTAGGGCAAGAGTACAATAGAGGCCTATACACTATGTGTACAGATATGAAAACTTACAAATAAATTGAACACAGTGCTAAACAAAATATGTTCTACCCTCTTTCCTTGACATGTCTATAAAATAACCTGGGAGGCCAAGATTTCAAAAGGGAAATCTAGGCCAGAATTCATGGTCATGGTAATGTGAGAAGGTCCAGACCCTAAACTCTAGCCTGTAGCTCCTATTACCTTCTTTTCCCAGCCTCAGCTCCATTCTTTAACATGCAGGCCTATGACATACATGTGAACATCCCAACCCATATGTTAACTTTTCCTACAATTTCCCCACTATAAATTGGTGGCCTACGGGCACATATACCATGTGATCCACCCTTGGAAAAATGGACCTGGAAAAAATGGTCACACAGGCCTGGGAAGTGGGCTAACAGCTATTTGGACAGAGAACTGAGGATTTAAAAAGTGGTCTAGAAAAGGAGGGGTGGTCACAGGTAATAGTTTGATATGCCCCCTTGATCCTGTAAAATCCTGACCCCAGTGGGGAAGGGCACAGCTAAAGGAGAAGCAGAGTAGAACCCTCCAAAGGATGGGGCCAAGATAGGGGTCTCCTGTGCCCTTGTCTAAAAGGTTTGGTTCTTGCTCAGGTATTAATGCACTTTTGAGAATAAATTTCTGAAATGAAGACAAAAGTATGAATGCATTCTGTCTTAGACGTAAGATTTAAAGGGGAAAACACCAGAAAAAACAACCTTTTGGTTTTTCTAATTTTTTTGGCAAACGTAATTTAAAAATTTGATTATGTTATTTTAAGTAAAAATACACATGACTGACCCACACCAAAAATATAGGTCCTTGTACTGATTCTGACAATAAAACAATATGAGAAAGACGTTTGGCCAAGAAGTTGAGTCCTAGGTGGATTCCTCTCCTAATTTAAAGCATAAATAAGGTGATTTAGAATTGCTAAAAGGCCATGACTTTTCCATTATGTGGACTTTTGTTCATATTCTGTATATATAATAGTCATAAATTTATTAGCAGATAACCAAATGTCTTAGTGCCTAAAGGTATTTAACTACAAAATAGGGACAATTTTTTCATCTATTATTGTATAGCTGTAAAGATTAAATAAGAATATACAAAAGAGCCCAGGTACATAGAAAGCATTTATTAACTATTAGCTATTATTATAGGATATTTAGGATCTTTTATCAAGAGAAAACATAGCAAACAAAATTGGTAGAATTATTATCCTTGGTATAAAACTTAAGTTTGATTTATGTGACAGAAAATGCCCAACATTCAATCACTTTAATATCAGGTCTAAATGAATGAATTCCTGAAAAAGCCAAAACAGAATGTTCTGTTAAGTCCTTTGAATTTTTCTAGAAAACCATTCTGGACCATGAATGCAGAAAAGCAGAGAATAGAGAAGATAAAATGAAAATGCCTTTCTGTACAGGAGACAAAGTAATAAGTTTTTTTTTTTTAAAGGAACTCTTTGCAAATTCTGCAGGGTTAGGTGTGGTAGGGGAATAAGCAGAGTTCTAAATACATTTTACTTCTCTAGGATATATATTCAACAACTGATAACAGGTTATTAACCAATTATTACACTGGTGGATAACATGATTAATATGAATCTGTTCAGAACAAAACTAGAAAAATATGTCTAATGCTCGGGTACAGACACGTAAGAATTTTTTCTCAGAGATTTATAAAGTGTTGGGCAAACTTGAAATAATGCTGTATAAACACTGGCTGAGGATCTGGATTGTTAAACTGGAGAAAGAGGTGGGGAGGTTATCGTAAAATAAGCTATTGTCAAATAAATGGAGAAAGAAGACTGAACTTACTCTGCATTAAATTTATTCTATATAGTACAAAGTGATAGAATTAGGAACAAGAGGACTGAAAAAAAGATGGATTTTTAGTTCAGTGAAAGGGAGTATAAACTGCTTCAAGAGCTACTGAGTGATTCTCATTGGCAGGATAACCTTAAGTTTGTTAGAAGAAAACTCAATCAGCAAAGGAGCCAGAGCTTATGGTATTAAGGTTTCTCCAAACCTGAGATTCTATGAATTGACAAATGAGCTGTCCAGATCAGGAGATGACATGGTCAGGCTATTAGGCATTATTTACTGAAAACATGGACAGGATTTTTAAAAAATGCTTTAACTATAGCTTGTTACAGAATTTTCTATAAGTGGAACTGAGTTTAAAATGCATTCAACAAGTATCTACTACCACTAGATCAATGGTGAAGGAGGGAGGCCATTTTAGCTATGGTATCAGGAAAGAAGAATCATCTGAGGGTGACTGAGCAGAGACCTGAATGAAGTAAGGGAGAAACCATAAAAATAATCAACAAGAGTATTTTAGGCAGAAAGTATTCCTGGCAAGAAAGCAGCATAGAAGAGAGAAGAGTGAGCAAGGCAAGGGCACAAGAATGTGGATTTTACTCTGAATGTGAATGGAAGCCACTGTGCTTTGAGCAGGAAACCGACATGACAAGACTTATGTTTTAACAAGCCTACTCTGGCTGCTGTGTCTAGTAATAAATACTAACTAATTATGAAAAATATCTACTGCTACAACTTACCATTAGGTCGAACTAGAAGTATGAGTTCTCCAGAATGTCTCTCACAGCTAGCTTTAATAAACAACACAACCTGATCATGGGTATGTTCTGCAATGTCCCGACCATTGATCAGTACAACTTGGTCCCCTTCATTCAATCGAGGGACACAGAGGTCAGCCTGTAATGTAATCCAAATAAGGTGTCAGATTTGTACAAAGCTTTCTGAAAGTAAAGAACAGGAATGTATTCTAATAGACTCTATAATAGGAGAACTAAAACTACACATAGAAAAGCATCTATCCATGAATTCACCTATTTAAAAAAAAGTAGGTTCTAGCTTTCCTATAAGATACCTCAACGACTTTTTCCCTGAGGCCCTATTGTATGCCTAGACATACTGATAAGACCAATGACCTCAAGGTATATAGATACACTATCCAGATATGTACAAATTTCAGTTACATAGTTTAGTTAAATAACATGGCTCAAATTTCAGTTACCATGATATATTAATAGTTAATAAGTGCATAAAAGTACAAACTTTGCTACGAGCTTGTCAGTCCAAAAGTTACACACAGCATGACCACTTCTTTCACAGTCTGGTGATCTGTCGCTGTATGTCTGTTGCCGACTTGTCTCCCAGTGAAATAGATAATCTCTAAGGAGGTGATTGGCTAAAAAGTTAAAAATGCAGCAAAGAAACAAAAAAAAGGTACTGCTGTAAGTGAAATACAAATCGAATATAAGTGGAGTTGCAGAATAAATGGCTGAAGATGAAAATAGTGACACTACTACTGTCTGGGAGACAAGATATGCAGTGAAAGGACTTTAGTGAAGGTGAACTTATCAATAGGGACGATGAAAGTGGCTGCAATGACAAGGATGAAGATGTCCTAGAGCAAGGGATGCTGGAAAAACTGTTCATTAAAGGAACTGTTAGTGATATTTCACAATATTGGAAATACAAAGGACAAAATGCTAGAAGTGGATTCAAACTTAGAAAGGATTATGACAACTTGTCAAGACAAGAAAAATGTTCACTCTGTATTTTAAGTTATGTGACAAGGAGACAAGCAATGTTCAAATTACATGTGACAAGTTTTCACAAAAAAATAAAATACTTTAATTCTCAGTGTTTCCAATGTTTTGAACTGCAGGATGCTAAACCAGTATTACTTTCACTATTTTTTTCATTTCCCTATGCATTTATAGGGAAAAGTAAGAGATATTTTAATGTTTTGAAAAAAAATGTAAAGATCATGGAAACAATGGTAATTTTCTCCATTATCAAGATCATTTTGCATGGTCTCAGACTGCAGGGACATTTTTATGGTCCTGCACTACTGTGCTAAGTGAGGACTGCCTGTATTTTATTGAAAAAAACAAAGAAGAGAAGTAACTAAGATAAAACAGACAAACAGAAATATAGACAGCTTGTTGCAGGAATACTGCAGTGAGAATATTTGGGGGTCAAGTTTGCAGGATGACACATCAAATAAGAGATGGAAATGACGGGATTGGACTTACAAAAAGGAGAATTTCTGGTGAAAAAGGCTTGAAAAAATGAAAGCACTACTCAAATTCATTATTAGCACAAAGTCAATAAAATCCAGCATGGTACTGTCATTTGTGGAAAAGGCACTGGCTCTTCCTCTAAGGCTTAGAAATGTGTGACCTTAGACATCTTGAAACTCTGAAAACAGAGCATATCTGCTGTAATTATTTCACAGAGTTGTGAAGACAAAAATGAGGTAATTCAATGCAAAGTGTCAAAATCTGGAAAATTCAAGTTTAAGGTTATGACCACTCTCTTTAGTTGCTTCTGTCTCTACTTCTTGTAGTGGAGCAGATGACATTCACATACTCCCTGTGCACTTGTGGTCTGATGCTTTTGTAGACTAGTATGTTCTCAAGTTTTTATAAATGTCTTTGAGGTACCCTAGAGTGGAGAACTGGGAACACTTACTGTTAATGGGAGAGATGTAATGGGCTACTGCAAGGAGTGATCCTCTCACCTTACTTTGTGGATAGTGTTGGCAGAAAAGAGGAGATAATCTGTGTTAGTGGGAGGATAGCTATTAATCATTCTTACTGTACCTTGCATGTCTATTAATATTTTCAATTCTGATACCGAGACTAACAAGGAAGTATGTGCCATAATATGCAGGGATTTTTTAAAAATTCATTACCACTAAAGGGAACTCTCATATTTAATCTGCCTTTACCAGGTATGCTTATAATTTTTTATTTGCATTTCATTCTGATCTGAAAGTCTAGATAAACTTTACATTAAAATCAGTTTTACTGGAGCAACAGCTATTGGCTCAAAGACAGTCAGAGGAAGAAAAACATGACTTCAACTGGGAATAATTTTATCAATTTTAGAAGGCATCCAATATAAAAATTGACATTAAAGTATTTGAAACCCTGTCCTTTTCTTCAGCTCACCTAAAATGAGGTTTCCAAGTGGAAGACTGTGATGCTCTCTAAATTAATAAAATAATATAAAAGTGATGTTCTATTATTTTAATTTATTCTAAATTCAGCCAGTATTTATGGAACATAATTCTATGTGGCACAAAGGAAAAATTACCAATAATTTGTACAGCCTAAAAAGAAAATTTAGAGTAACAGAATTCTGTTTGGAAATGAACTTGTCTATAGAATGTTCCTGGAGCATCCCTAACTTAGGTGAAAACTATGCACATTTGCTGCTCAGAAAAATCAATATTTGTGTCATTCACTGACACCTGGCATACAAATTTAAAAAAAGGCGTATTATCTTTTCTAATTGTAAGATGTTCACTGCATGCTCAATACATGCTCATTGTAATGATTCAGACAATTAAAAAATGAAAACAGAAAAATGTAATAAATACTAGTAATTCCATTACCTAAGTGAAACACTGTTAACATTTTTAGCATGTTTCCAGACTCATTTATGCATATAATTCACATTTAAAAAAACTGGATCAAGCATGTGGAAGTTAAAATGCATTTTCCATAATGCCACCTTATTAACACATTTCCGTACTAGTATAGAGCTACATCATCCATTATGTCAATGGCTGTAAAGCAGCACATAACCTATTTCACCAATTCTGACACACATTTTTGGTTTTCCCCAATTTTTAACTGTTATAAACAATACTACAGTGAACATCTTTGTGTATCCTTTGTTCCCTAGTCCAAATGTTTCATTGGATGAAATTCCTAAAGTAATATTGTCAGGTAAAAGACAGAAATATTTAATTTAAAAAAAGCTTATAAAAAAGAAGTCAAAACTTCTTGCTTTTAGCAAAGCTATACATCAGTTTAAAGTGTTGACTAGATCATAAGATTACTAAGATAAGAAACCATTTCTTGTACTCCTCTATACCATCTCCCCTTCTCCTGAGGCAACTTCTTTCAACATGGTAGCTACATCCTTTGTATTTACCTCAGTATCTCTAAAACACCACCATTTTGTTTTTCTTTAGTTTTCTAGTTTAGACATTATCTACAGATGAGAATTTAGCAATCTTTCATCTCATCTGCAGTCCCAGAACATATATATTTCCCACTAAATATACACTAAATAAATAATTCTGGGCTATTTCCCCTAATTTTCCCCTATCCTTCACATGCATGGTAGGCTCAAGACTAATTTTATACATCATATCTCTGTCCCATCCCCTTGGACCACAAGGGATTTGTTTAAAAGAGACATCTGTTCCAAACTGTATCTATGAAGGGTTTACTTCCCATAAGTCTGTAACTTAGATTGAGGGTTCACTCTGGCTTGCTGAGCTGCTAATATATAAATCTGGAAGTTACTAGTAGTCATGCCCTCCTACCACAGGGACTGAGGAGCAGAAGAGTGGTGGCTATGTAATTTCTATTTAGTAGAGACTGTGGATTCACAATCATATTTGAAGGTAGTATGTGTGTGGTGGTGATGTTACAGGACTTGGCTTAAGGCTGCTGGTAAGTACACTGTTTTTATTTAGACTATTTTATTTGGAGTGGCTTGAGATGAAGCTGATTCAATGTGCAAATTGGCTTGCACTGAGGGAGAAGAATATAACATTCACGGGAAAAGAAACATGAAAATTAGAGTCCTCATGCTTTTATACATTTTCTCTACAGGTCTGACTACATTTCTGTCTTTGGGCTTTCTGAGACACCTCTATAACTATATGATAAATTTTATATTTACGCTTAAGTCAGGAGTATTTCACAAGCACCCTGTTATGTGCAACCAAAGAAGTCTTTGAAAACCAGAACCGAAATCATGTATCATGATCTCCTTGATCAATCTTGACAGTGATCTTCAAACCTATTTTGAAATTGCTATAAAGCATTAAAAAAAAAAGCATAAGTGGCCTCTTCCTCTCAGGCTGCTAGTTCATACTTTTCCTAGGACAGAGAGATAGTTAAAATTTCAAAAACTGAAAATCTCTGAAGACCACTTAAATAAAGTAGGCAACAACATGAATGGGAATTTGAAAGCCGTATTTGCTACATGTAATAGCAATAAAGATAATACACCCACAATTCATTAAGAAGTGTCCCTATGATGAGCAGAAAGTTCATGAATGCTAAAGCTGAATGATGGGTAAGGGGGAAGGAGGAGTTTATCATGATGGGTACATATGTTTTCTCTGCTTTTGTTTAGAATGCTCAAAATACAGTTTTAAAAATTGTCCTTATAAGGGGGAAAAAAATCACTGGTACTATTTCCATTTAAAGTGGAAACTTCAAACACAAAGTAGGCAAATCGAATGTTATATAAACTATTCTAAATGAAAAAACAAGCAAAATAAAAACTGTACCTCTGTCTACATTTTGCTGTTTAAAGGGGTTATTTTGATAGACTCTATGAGAACTTTAGAAACACTAAAAGTTATTAATAGCCAACAACATTTGATCCTGGACAAATTAAAAGAAATAATTAAATATCTTTATTTAAACTAATAAACAATAAAATAAGAACATATTTTGAAAATAGGATTTATTTGCAAGATTTGGATAACTCACAGGTGTTCCTGGGGCTACTCGGGACACAATCACAGGCATCTTCTGATCGCATCCTCCCTTAAAAACAACGCAAGGTCAAATATTACCAAAATAGCAGTATCATCATTTAAAAACCGAGTACAAGAGAAATTCTAGGTTACCTTCACATTGAATCCAAACCTTCCATTTTCATCAGGTTTCATTCTGATTAGAACAAGATTATCATGTGGAATACCACCATTAGGCTTAAAAAGACAAAAATAAATAACTTGTAGTTTTCTTCATTTATAATTTATCCTTCAAATATACATGAAGCATGCTTTTTGTATGCTGACATTATCTTTAGTTTGTAAAGAGTCATCATTTAAATTAAAATGTTAATTCAGGAAAATTAATTTTGACTAATAACCTAAAGTTACTCCAAATAGATATATTCTCTCATGCCTCCTTGCCACTGCATGTTAGACTGTGCCAAGAGGAATAGGGGCTTTATTACATATATTGATTAATTTATTAATCACAATATCCCTAGAACCTGGCTCAGAGCATTTCACAGAGCAAATGCTTTTAAGTGTTAAATGAATTCATATTGCTCCCTTTACTTTTTAAAAACAGCTTGAAATGCAATTCACATATTGTACACTTCACCCACTGAAAGTGTATAATTCAATTTTTACTATAGTCAGAGAGCTGCACAAACATCACTACCCTTTAATTTTAGAACATTTTCATCACCCCAAAAAGATACCGTATATCCATTAGCAGCCAGTCTCCATCCCCTCACCACATCTCCCAAGTCCTATTCAACTATTAATTTATTTTCTTTCTCCATTGACCTGACTATTCTGGACATTTCACATATATGGAATAATACAATATATGCTCATTTGTTACTGGTTTCTATTATTTAACATGTCCTATGATTTAATATGTTCTATCACTTCACAGTTCTGCTGTTTGAGGAGAACTGTCTGGCTAATTCCTACTTATTCTTCAAGACAGGTCAGAGATAATCACTTTGTTAAGTCCTCCCCTAAACCCACAGCTGCATTAGTTATTTTTATATACTTGTGGATCCCCTATATTCACTTCTAATCATAGAATGTGTACTGCCTTCAAATTGTCTGTCTTCCTACTTGCTCTAGGCCCTCCTCCATACTCAAGGATAATAATATAGTAATTCTCTACTTTCTTGCATTATCCATTTCCCTCATCCTTTTGGGAAATACTCTTAGTCTTCCTACTCAAAAAAAAAAAAAAGAGAACTCTCATGACTCCACTTCCCCATCTAGCTACTGCCCCATTTCTCTCTTTCCTCTTGATACTAAACTTCTTGAAAGAGCTGCCCATATTTGTTGTCTCTGTTTCCTCCAATACCATCTTCCTAGAGTCAGGCTCCTCTAGCACTCCACCAAAACTATTGTAATTAAGGTCACCAAAGACTTTCACATTGCTAAATCCAGTGTTCAATTCTCAGTCCTCACCTTACTTGACTTACCAGTAGCATTTGACAAAGTTTTACTTTGTGACTTTCATCCCATCACCTAGTTGACTAGTTTTCTTTCTACCCTTCTGTCTGCATCTTCTCAGTCTCCTTTGCTGGTTTCTTTCACTTCCCTCATGTTTATAATTTAGAGGACTGAAGGCTCAATTTCTAGAACCTCTTATTCTGATTATCTACATGCCACACTTCTTTGGTGATTTCTTCCTGTTGCATATGCCACCAACTCCCAATGTTATAACTCGTTTGGCCCTCTCTCTTCAACTCCACAATCCTATCAATACATGGATTTCTAATAAGCATCTCAAAACTTAACATGTCCCAAGCTGAGCTCCTGATATTCCACTCATACCTGCTCTACTTGCAGTATTTCACATTTCAGGAAACAGCAACTTCCTCCTACCAGTTGTTCAGGTCAAAATCCTTGCTGGTATCCCTGATTCCTCTCTTTCCCCAGTACTCCACATCCCAGTCCATCAGCACATTATGTTATCTCTATTCTAAAAATATATCCAGAATACAGCCATGTTATTCCTTTCACTGTTACTACCTTGGTCCAAACCACCCTTGCCTGCTTTGAACACTGCAGTACCTCACAACCTGTATCTTTACTTCTCCCCTGCTTTCAGGTCACTTTCAGTACAACAGCCATACAGACACTGTCACTTAAGTGACATCATGTTTGCTTCTCTCCTTAGGCATGTCCATTTGCTTCTTATCTGAGAGTTAGAAAACAAAATCTTCACAAGATAAGGCTTTTAAGATCTAGCCCTCTCCTGTACCTGTCTCCTCCTCATTTGCTTATTTTGCTCTAGCCACACTGAATCTTTTGGGACTCCTTGACCATATCAGTCATATTCCTGTCTTTGTACCTGCTGTTCTATCAGTTTACCTGCTCTTCCAGTAGAATTTGAAGGCAGTACAAATTCTATGATTAGAAGTGAATATAGGGGATCCACAAGTATATAAAAATAACTAATGCAGCTGTGGGTTTAGGGGAAGACTTACTAAAGTGATTATCTCTGACCTGTCTTGAAGAATAAGTAGGAATTAGCCAGACGGTTCTCCTCAAACAGCAGAACTGTGAAGTGATAGAACATATTAAATCATAGGACATGTTAAATAATAGAAACCAGTAACTCATCACAGATCATCCTTGGCTTATACTAGCTAAAAATTAACATTCTACTCCTAAAATTCTCTGGCCCCTTTCTGCTTTATTTTCTCCCTAGTATTCACTATCTAATCTGCTGTACATCTGAATTATTTACGTTTCTGACTGTCTGTCTTGCCCTTATCTTCAGAATATAAATTCTCTGAAGGCAGACTTTTATTTATTTATTTCCTATATTATTCTGATACATCCCCAGAGACTGTAACAATGCATGGCACATAGCAGGTACTCAGTAATTTTTGCATGAATGAAAAAACAAATTAGAATGTAGTTTATTTAACAGGCTCCATGTCTTATTTATCTATGTATTCCCACTACCTACCAAAGTACCAAGCACACAAGGAAGACCTCAGTAACTGAATCAATGAATGAATGATATGTAAGAATCACCCTATGGGTAACAAGCAGTAGATATGTCATTCATTTTTGGTAGGGGCTCTGATTCTCTTTTTGATGTGTCTGTGGTGGTGGAGCAGTAAGTATGGGGAACAGAGTGGCTGCCTACTGCTTTTCAACTTTAGATAATGTGGAGGGCTATGAGTGAAAGACTAGAGGTAGCACAGGAGCCCCTAGAAGCTTCTGGCACTATTGATACCTGAAGTGAACCCTCTTCTTCCATTTTATTCTTTGAGGTCCCTTTAAGTTTCCTGAAACATACCCATCTTTCTGTCTGTCCGTACATCCGTACACTCCCTCATGAACATAGCATGTCCTTGAAATTTATGGACAATCTCACTTTTAGTTTATTTACATCTGCTTGAGGAAGCAATAAAAATTCATAAAGGAAGTGATTTCTAGCAATTTACCATTTTCTCTAAGGCAAACATACCAAAAATTCATAAATATATTTTGTAGAACAGTGATCATATACTCTAAGGACTGTACTCAATTTCAGAAGGCTGATGAAAATGATAGTCTCCTCACCACACTCAGTGAATTAAATAACAAAGTTAATAGTATTTAATGGATTATTAATTAGCATTTGTTCTAGAAACGTGTGTTCTGTAAAACTAAAACCAGAAAGTATGTCACAAATTAAAATTTCAGAGCAATGAACACTTAAAAATGATGATACAAGAAAATAACACAATTGGGTTATATCATGGAATAATTCATCAGCAAACATATGATGAAAAGAGTAAGTACTGTAATATAATTTAATAGATAAGACATGCCACAGGACAAAAAATTTCATCTGTGACTAAAAAATATCAAAGAAATGTGAGAATATTTGAAGAAGTGACTTACAGTAGATTTTTCAGATGATGGCACATCAAATGTTTCATTAGTATGGTTTTCCAGATCTTGCTGAGAATGTGAATAATGAATTTGGTTCCAACTACTTTTCTTTGACTGTTTGGGTGGTAAAGCTGGAGGCTGCCCATCTCTAGGGGTTTCTTGAGATCTAGATAGGAAATAAGGGGAAAACCAAGTAATTTGGAAGTCATCTTAGAGATTATTATTTTAAAAGCTATGGTCAGTCAACTATATTCTAATAAAAAAGCATGGTCAAGCAACTCAGATATTCACAATGTTTAGTAGGAGACAGGCTTTATTATTTTTTTGGTTAATTTTATTTTTTAATTTTTTATTAAGGTATGCTTGATATACGCTCTTATGAAGGTTTCACATGAAAAAACAATGTGATTACTACATTTACCCATATTATCAAGGCCCCACCCATACCCCACTGCAGTCACTGTCCATCAGTGCAGCAAGTTGCCAGAGATGCACTATGTCCCTTTTCAGTGATCCACTGTTCTCCCCGTGATCCCTGACACCATGTGTACTAAATATAACACCCCTCACTCCCCTTCTCCCTCCCTCCCCACCCACCCTCCCACACCCCTCCCCTTTGGTAACCACTAGTTCATTCTTGGAGTCTGTGAGTCCGCTGCCATTTTGTCCCTTCAGTTTTGCTTCATTGTTATACTCCACAAATTAGGGAAATCATTTGGCATTTGTCTTTCTTTGCCGGGCTTATTTCACTGAACATAATGTCCTCCAGCTCCATCCAGGTTGTTGCAAATGGTAGGATTTGTTTCTTTCTTATGACTGAATAGTATTCCATTGTATATATATACCACATCTTCTTTATCTATTCATCTGCAGATGGACACTTAGGTTGCTTCCATATCTTGGCTATTGTAAAAAGTACTGCGATAAACATAGGGGTGCATATGTCTTTTAGAATCTGAGAAGTTGTATTCTTTGGGTATATTGCAAGGAGTGGGATTCCTGGGTCAAATGGTATTTCTATTTTTAGTTTTTTGAGGAATCTCCATATTGCTTTCCACAATGGATGAACTAGCTTACATTCCTACCAGCAGTGCAGAAGGGTTCCGCTTTCTCCACATCCTCGCCAGCATTTGTTGTTCTTAGTCTTTTCAATGCTGGCCATCCTTACTGGTGTAAGATGATATCTCATAGTGGTTTTAATTTGCATTTCTCTGATGATTAGTGATGTGGAGCATCTTTTCATGTGTCTGTTGGCCATCTGAATTTCTTCTCTGGAGAAGTGTCTCTTCATATCCTCTGCCCATTTGTTAATCGGGTTATTTGCTTTTTGGGTGTTGAGGTGTGTAAGTTCTTTATATATTTTGGATGTTTACCCCTTGTCAGATATGTCATTTACAAATATATTCCCCCATACTGTAGGATGCCTTTTTGTTTTGTTGATGATGTCCTTTGGGGAGACAGGCTTTAAATACAGTATTTACAAGTGCTACTCTTTAATGAAATCTTTCTTAACTTTGAAGGTTAAATAGTAAATCTAATTTCCTTCTTAATCAACTCTGTAAGCAATTCTACATATAATAAGATATATTACATATAATAGTATATACTTACATACTACATATAAGATATACATGTAAAATATCCCTATGAATATATTTATTAATCTACTATAACAATGGGTACACCTTTCCAAAAACCTTTTTATTTTTTTATTTTGATATCATTAATATATAATTACTTGAACATTATGGTTACTAGACTCCCCCTATTATCAAGTTCCCCCCAGATACCCCATTACAGTCACTGTCCATCAGCATAGTAAGATGCTATAGAATCACTACTTGTCTTCTCTGTATATACTGCCTTTCCCGTGCCCATCACCCCCACTACATTATGTGTACTAATCGTAATGGCCATTTTTACCCCTTATCCCTCCCTAACCCATCCATCCTCCCTAGTCCCTTTCCCTTTGGCAACTGTTAGTCCATTCTTGGGTTCTGTGAGTCTGCTGCTGTTTTGTTCCTTCAGTTTTTGCTTTGTTCTTATACTCCACAGATGAGTGAAATCATTTGATACTTGTCTTGCCCCGCCTGGCTTATTTCACTGAGCATAATACCCTCTAGCTCCATCCATGTTGTTGCAAATGTCCAACAACCTTTTTTTAAGGTTTTCAGTGAGTCATATAAGCAACCATGGAATAAGACAAGCAAAGAGAAATCACAACTGAGAGTTCAGCCATTCCACAGATAAAATACCAAATATAGTCTAGAGAACTCAAGTCAATGGCCCAATTTATTGAGAAATAAAATACAATTCATGATAGTAAATAACTAAATTCTGCAACAAGAATTATAACCTGAGTGTGAGTGTTGAGATCACTGAAGAGACAAAACTGGATGAGACATTGTCAGAGTATATAATTTAAGGATGCAAAAATCCAATTAACTTTTAATAAGCCTCAAACTGTTGTAGCAATAATTAATAAAAAAGAACTGCATATGCTAGGGGAAGCTTCAAGGTAAAAACTGTAGCTTTTAAGAACAAGCACAGTATATGTAATTACATTACTTGTGAGTTTTTCACAAAGGCCAGAAGAGGGAAGGAGTGACTTAACTTGTATCCATGGGAGTTGTGGAGTTTAGAATGGGGAGGGTGAAATGGTTCTTGAAAAAAGCACTGATCATCATTGGGGTTATTATATTTATCTCTGAGACAGCCCTTTGGGGAAATGAGAGAATTACTGTTTCATTGCCTGAGGACTGATAAAGAGAGTTGACAGCTGCTGTGTCAAGCTGCATGGCTGCTGCTGTAGTACTCAGGCAGATTTCACTGAGTTTCTGCTGAGTTTTGCTGACAATAGATGTGTAAAATGTAAACCATTGGATCTTGAGGATATAGAACAGCATTAGATTATATTAGTGTTCAAAAAGCATTATCCACCCCTCCCTGACTGACATCAAGCTTGGCAATATGACTTGCTCTGGCCAATGAAATATGAGTAGAAGTAGTATGGGTCACATTTGAAAGGAAATTTCAAGAAACACCTCGTGAGCCACTATGCTTCTCTTTTTCTTTGACCATGAGACTATCCATGTCCCAAACAGGGGCTCTGGTCAGTTGAGGTCCTAAAATGAACATGACATGGAGTTGAGCCACAGATGATCCATGATGTACATAAAGAATTTGCTGTCGTAAGTCATTATAAGTTGGGGTAATTTGCCCACAGCATAGTTTAGTCCAAGATAACTGATAATTACTTCCAGACTGGCTCTTGGATACAATTGGTAGAGAAGGTATGAACTTATTGAGAGGCTTGCTGCTAGATACCTGGCAAATATGAGTAGCAAAACTAAAAATATGACTAGTGCCAGGAAAGTTAGCTAGGATTAATAATGGTATAATTGTATCCTTCTCCAGGGAGGTTTATTCTAAGAGAGAGAAAACAGTCCTTCTGAAAATTTATAGTCTAGTATAAAATATAATCACCAAACAGGCAGGTAAACAGTTATGCCCTCCCAGCCTAGTTTTCTACATAGAAATCTTCAGAGCACAAAATGCTCTAAATTCTGGTACGTCTTATAGGACTGCATCAGAGAGCATACCTTTTGTTTTCAGCAAAAGCTTCTTTGAGGCCTACACCTTGATGGCTACAGATTCCAGGTACCAAACATTCTAGTTTTTATTGTTAGTTTCAACAGTCAAGAGCCTAAGCTTCTAAGATCCAATACATTCAAGTACTGTTGGTTGAGGAAAATGTTCCCACAGATAAGAAGAATGACCTGTACCTCAATTGTGGCCTGATGCAAGGGATTAGGACAGATAAAGATTTACATACCTTGGCAGAGCCTCACAGATGTGACATTTCTAAAAAGCATTTGCTCAAAAGCCTGTGAGACTTTACAAAAACCAGAAGTCACTGGATTCCACATGTACCAATCAATAGGTCTCATCCCGTACCTAGGAGTAACTGTACTCACTTAGGCAAGGTGAATAGAAACGTTTTTTAGTTTTGCATATAGTTGTCTTACTCAGCAAGCATTTAGCCTCAAAACTAGGGCATAAGGTTGAGATCAGATGGGGAATAGAATCAGAGCAACTTTCTTTATTCTCAGCCCAACTAACAGTCTAAATATAGTGTTAAAATATTCAACAGGGACAAACTCAAGCCTGATCTGCAGTGCACTATTTAAGCAAGCCAAACCTGGCAGGTATGGGCATGAACAGTGGCAATGCTCAGGTACTAGAGAGGGAGAGTACTGACATTATGGAGTATTTTTGTAAAACTGGTAAATGTGCATTTCTTGGTTTAGACATGGGGCATACACAGTCAAAAAAGCTCCAGAAATGGTTTTTATTATGCACTGCTAATTAGAAATCATTGTCTCATAACAGTCATTGCAAATTTATGGCTTATGAACCAGTTTTGCCAAAATACATTTGGCCCATTCATTGTTTCTGTAAAATGTGAGACTGATTACATTTAAAAAATAACATACAAATCTGGATTTCCAGAATGAAAATCAGAAAGTTCTGGAACGAATGGATCTACATTACAGTTCGTCAACCACTGGGCAAATCTAAATTGTAGCTGCTGCCTTTAGATGGGCCATAGGAATTCTAGTCTACATAAATCCCACCCAGTGTGACTCACCAGATTCCAGCCATTGTCTGAGTATAACCTCTCTTCTAAACATTCAAAGTCTGCAGGAAGACACAGATAGAAGAGTCCAAGCACACAGGCTTGGGCCAGGATTTACACCAATTCTAAAGAAAAGGTGAAGAAACCTGAGTACAGGCTGAGAGGATTAGCCAAAATGTAACAAAGGAGAGGACAGTTTAACTTTGGATTTCAGGACAGAGGCAACCTGCCTTTCTCATTGTTTTAAATTACTTTAGATTTAACTTCTCAGAGAGCAGAGGATAGGCTTTCCAGATGCCTGATTGCTGCAGATGCTAAGGTTGGTCTGCAGAGCTTTTACAAACTAATTTGTGCTCTCCCAGTAATCCTGGTAACTGTTGCCCTTTTCTATGTTTCCAACTTCAATAATCAATTCTCTTTATATTTAGTTATCTATACATATCTATATGTATATCTATTTATCTGTCTGATACAGCCTGTAAAAGTAATCAAAGATGTTAACACAGACCCCTGAAATTCGTATTTTG